TTTGGGACAGGGACAAGTTGATTGGTATCTAACAACTGCTTTAAGAGAAATTTAGAAAATAAATAAGTCATCCTTTAACATTAAAACAAGGCCCTCAGACACGTTTTAAAGTGCAACCTCTTGTGATTCCACGTGACCTCTGGCTCTTTTCTCCCTCTGCCTTCAAACAGGAAGGGATCAGAGGGAAACAGGCAGCTTGTTGCCACTAGAAACCACAGCCTTTATAAAGGAATTTCACCTTCACTCTGGAAGTGTGGGAGTCAGTCCCACTGGGAAGAACAAACTCAGTCCGTCCACAGATACAGCATTATTTTTGAACATGAACCCCTGGTAGCATCAGAGACTTACTGTAAAAAAAAATTATCTACATTAAGCTGCATATGATACCTCTGCTGCTCTGTGGGCTTTCAAACAGCAGACGGAGGCGGAAGAGGGTGGGAGCGGGTGAGTGTGGGTCTATGAGACAGAGAGGGAAAAAAAGATAGTGTTTCTTATCTGAGACTAACTTTGTATTCAGAAAAGGCTCAACCTGTTGTTGAGAGAAGAGAGCCAAATCACTGCGCAAATGATGCTGAGAGTGTTTAGACTCCAAGGGGCTGAAAAAAGGGGATTATGTGAATCCTTTTGAATCCCTTACTAATCATTTTTGATGCATCTGTTTAGAAAAAGGGACAAAGAGACTTAAAGCTGTGCAACACAACTCTACAAAGCCAACATTAGATGAGGGGGCATCTGTTGTCATGTTAGACAACGACACCGACTAGGGGTATATAAACCCAATATAAATTTTTTTTAGAAGAGCATTAGTGTTTTAACACAGTCCATTATGCAAATAGATATAATGGTGATAATCTTAACCAGCAGCGCGATGAATGAGTACAGCTTTATCGATTACTTGATTAAACACTTAGTCAGTCTAAATCACTTTTTACTGCAAATAAAATATATTGTTGGTGATTTTAGACAAAAGATGACATATCAAGAAATCACTATCGTGGCATGGATCAACTGATAAATTTTTAAAAAAGTATAATTTTAATCAGGTTTAATCAAGGAACAATAGAGTTGTTAGTTGCAGCCCTGGCATACATCCATTTCCCTCTTGCAATACACACTTCTGTCCTGCTGCCCTCACCAGCTGAATGACACAGGTTCAGCAACAAAGGCATGATTGCTCACCATTTCCCTGCTTGCCGATGGTACTATACACACTTCTAACTGAATGATCATGTTTGAAGTGTGTCACTATTTCTGCACAGCATATTCATCTGCAGCAGAGAGCAACAATTAATAATCAGACACCAATTCTTTTTCTGTGCTCAGTTAATTGTAAATGTTGCCAAATATTCTAGAACACATAAGCACCCATTCATAACTCATCTGTGTAACTTGTTGTGTGACAAATAAAATTTGAATTTGAATGTTGGCATTGCGTAACTACATAAGTGCTATATGTACAGTATATACAGTTACTTATGAGCTGCTAGATACAACCTTAGCACAGGGCTAACGCTGTACTCATACATGTAGGGTCAATTTACGGACTTATGTATTTGATTTGGGACAAAAAATGAGAACACCCAAAATAAAAGTAGCACATTCAATCAAGCACTGTAGCATTTTTTTTTAAATTAAAGGTATAGCATGTAAAATTTTCACATAAAAAAAATATCTACAGATATTATGTTTTGCTGACTTGTGTCATTTATCCAAAAATTTCCACTTAAGTTGAATGTGTCCTTTCACAATGGCGGCAGCTAGTTAGTTTTAATATTACTCTTATTATTCTTTTTGGGTCACAAAATAAAGTTTAACATATTTTCAGGCGAGAATGTAGCTGTGTAAACTTCAAATATCTGCTCAGTTTATCAAGACACCACATACTTTCAAAAGCGCTCCGACGTTTTCGGAGACGTCTGTTGCCCACTAGCACGATAGCTAGCTGGGGGAAAGGTTCACTAGAGCCCGTGAGAACACCGGACTCCTGGCAAATCGTTTTCAAACCCACCGCCGTCTTTCGCTACTCGGGTTAAACATGATATATAAGTCACTTAGATAACTTGTTATGTTATTGTTTGGCTCTTTTTAGTATTTTATTTGCTCCTGAGTGAATCGGTTTGGCAGAGATTAAAGTTATAGTTTTTACACAGCTGAATAAACATCAAGCAGACAACTGATCATCAGAAGTGTGAGATGCTCGAAAATTTACTCCGGTGTCCTGTTATATTTTAGATAGCAAGGAGTTTATTAAACTTCACCGAAACAATCTGCAAATTTCATTAAAATGTAATAAACTATCATTTTGTCTTTATTTTTAGTTAGCACATACCTTAAACACTTAAAGCTGTAAGATAATGATAGTTATATGAGAGCAGATGGGTGCTGGTGCAATAAGCTGTACGTTTTACATCCAATGGATTTGATTAGTCGACTAATCGCAAAAATAATCGGTGACTAGTCGACTATCAAAATAATCGTTTGTGGCAGCCCTAAGTAGCACTGAGCTACAATCGTGAAGTTAGTCACACTTTTACTATTAACTATTTTTACACATTGGAAACAACCTGGAAACTGTAAAACACAGACTTAAAAATATTTATTCTACGAAGGATGTACAGTACTGTGGAAGACTTAAGCCACCACTCTTTTTTTTTTTTAACTTTACTTCCAAAAAGGCAGACTCTCCTGTAGTCTGTCTTAAGCAACAGTTCTTCAGGATTTCTGACAGCTGTTTAGAGTTTTTCTTTGGACATTGGCTGCTTTTTACTCATTTTCAGTCCAGTCTTCATACTCGAATGAGTTTGTTCTTGTTTGTTAAGCTACTTGACACTAATCTGTGAATCATTTAGACATTAAAAAAGCACCAAACTCATAAGACACACCAGTGTTGTGCCTACACATAACAGACAACTTAAAAAAAGAGCCAAAATTGTATCTTTGAGAATTTTGTTAGGAGCTTGTTGTAAAAACACCAAATGTGTTCTTGTTTTTTCAGTTGCATCTACTAACAATGCCAAGATTATTCCTAACAGCTATTAGCTTAAAACTTACACATATTTGTGCATTTTGTGTGCCATGTCCCTAAAACACTTGAGGAAACTGAATAAGTGGAGGACAAAAAGACAGATTTTTAGGCCCAAACTATCTACAACAGATAAACAGTATCTGAAAATCGCATCCTTAAGAAATAAGAAAAAAATCCAGAAAAGACTTGACAGGATGGGAGATACATCTGGCCCTTCAGTTGATCCATCAACTGATCACCAATGGCTTATCAGAAAGGGTCAGTGGGAGGGTGGCTGTCAAGAGGCCATTCTTAAGGAAGAGAAGCAGGGAGAAAAAACTAGGGCATGCCAGATTACACAAGAACTGGGCTGAAAATCAGTGGCAACAGGTCTTATTGGAGAGATGAATCCAAATTTTTAATTTTCTTTTAAAATGTCATTGTTATTATAGACATTCAGGAGAGAGGGTTAGCTGTCAATCAACCATCTGTAAACATGGTGGAGTCTCTGCCATGGTTTGGGACTCCATTTCAGTCAGTGGTGCTGGAGATTTTGTTAAAATTGATGATACTATGAATACAGAAAAGTGTTGTACGGTGCAGTGCCATATGGAAAGCATCTCATTAGCAACAGAATTATTTATCAGCATGACAATGATATCAAACACACTGCCAATGGAGTAAACACATACCTGGGTTAAAAAAAACAACAACACACACGTAATGAAAACTTCAGTCATGGATTGGTCTCCCACAAGCCCAGACCTTAACATTATTGAAGCATTGTGAAATAGCCGTGACAGAAATTAGAATAAAAGACAGCCAACATCCAAAGAGCTTTGAATGCCATCCAAGAAGGCTGGAGAACTAGTCCTGAAGACTACCATTAAAATATGCTTTTTTGGTCTTTTATTAGTAAAGATGCATTTAAAACACAAGATGTTTTAAAGACTTGTGCAGATAACTCACTCTACAACAAAAATCACACAATGTCTTTTGTTATCTTTTTGACTGAGCAATCCTTAGCAACAGAACAGTCACAACAATACTGAAACTAGAAACAAATGACACTGAAATAAGGGACAGTTGTGGATGTATTACTGTCATGTAGAACAATAACTAAAATATAACAGGAAGTTGTTTTAGTTATTGATCTTGCTAAGTTATCGATCGCATCCAATTTGAGTTAGAATCATATACATTCAAGGATTTATTTTTTTTTTAAATGACGGGATGTTACACACCAGTGTATCAACACCGAAAGCAAGACAGCAAAAAAGCCTCTTATTTTTTCTATCAGAAAAATCGCTTCTTTACAGCACTCATTTCAACCACTGGGACAAATCTATTACATGCATAACTTCACAACAGTCCGATTCATTTTATCTTTCTGATCCACCGTTTGCAGCTTTGCTGTAGGAAATGCAGCCTTCCTGCATGCATAGCCAATTAATAAACCCCTGTGACAGCCAGACAAGAATAAAGCAGCCTGTGTTAATCTTGTGACCAGATCTAGTATAGGCACATCTACACCACATCCTAAGCTGAGGTGTTACACTAAACTGTGCTAAGATCAGAGGAGGCATGATTTACACCTATAGAAGGCAAGGAGCTGTATTGTGTAAGCATTATGAAAAATAAACACAAACACACGCACACACACACACACATACACAAAAAAGCAATACAAACATGTTAAACTCATAAAATAACTCTAAATTCTAAGCTCCCAACAGGGAAGGCGCAATGTGAGTGAAGCAGGAACAGGAGGAGGAGGAGGAGGGCAACGTCATCGTGGTGGTCTGACCATCCGAGTGAGACATGAATGGCTGTGTTAGCAGTGCCCTGAAGGGGCAGCCAAGCTCTCAGCCATTTAGCAGAGTAAGCTGAACAGATAGTGGGATACATCATGTCACACCAAACCCTTTCAACCCTCTACATCCCTGCAGAGACAGATTCACCTATCAGTATAAAAGAGAAATGATTGAAAACAAACCTTTCAGTCCATTATAATGACACCGGAGTGGTCTTCCTTCACTGCAGAGGAGATGAGGACCTGCTACATCAGGCCCACGGGTCTTCAACAAAGAACACAAAAAGTGAGATGGAAACTGTAATCCTCTAAACGCTTCCTTGGCACATCACTGCTTCTCCCTGCCTGAGTATACGCCTGTGCGGTGCGTGTGTATGGGTGTCTCTGTCTGTCTCCTAGACAATGATAATAATAGGCTGCAGAGGGGGAGATGCACCTCTGCAAAGAATACTAGGCTTCAGACTTAATGAGTCTACAGATATCCATCCTTATCAGACCATGAAACGTCTTTAGGACATCAGTCTGCATTAGAGAAAAACTGACTGAAATTTGATCAAGTGAGAGGTCCTGGCTAATATCTCAAGGCACAGAGGTGCATTAATATGACAGCTGGATAGTAAATTAAAAGTTAATTAACTGGGATTAAGATCCTACAATCAACTTCACAAGCAATAAAGCAAATGATACGATGTTACCATAATGGCAGGTGGAAATTTTTAACTCTGTTACGCTGCTTATTTCCTGCTACACAAGACAAACCTACTGTACAAAACTACAGTATCCCACATATTTAATTATATTCTTATTGACTGCCTCACTTCAAAACAAAAACAAAAACAAATAACGCTCACATTCAAACACTAATGAAGAAATAACGGATATGAAATATATAGCGATTATTACGAAAGATAAGTCGAAAAAATCCGAGTTGAGCAACATTTAACGCAGAGACAAAGTTTCTTGCGTAAATAAGTAAAAATAAGCTTTTAAAATCGTTCAAATATTAGTTCAGTGCCGGTGTAGTGCTGTCAGTAACAGCAGTGTGTTAACGGACTCAGGTTGACAGTCCCGTTAGTGTGTCCTTACACAGAGCTGGTAATACGAGGCAATTTCCGCACCGACACTCTTACGGAGACCCAAAACGCATCACAGACACGCACAAACTGACCGTAAAACAACCCCAAAAAACTCGACTAAAAATATATTTCACACTTACATGGGTGGTCGCAAACTGTTGGAGCTGACGTTCAACGAGCAACACCCCGAGTGCCCTCCACCCCTCGGCGCGCCCGCCCTCTCCCGGCTGACGTCATGGCGTAATGCGTAACCCAGCGGGAAAGAAAACAGAAAACTGTGTTAGTAAAGATGACTCACTCGCATGTTTCAAAAACTGACACATTATATTGTTACAAAAAGCTTGTGGGAACAAGTCCATTAGAGCCCCGTGTTTTGCTACAAGCAAGCGAAACGCCACTCTTGGTTGTTGTTTTCTTGTTACTCAAAAGCGTCATCTACAGCACAGTTAGGGTTACAAGGTTATTATAGCTAACGAAAGCTAGATCTGAAACAAAGTTACCCCAAAAAGTAGGTGTAGTGAAATATGCATATCACTGTCTGACAGGAGTGAGAACTATACCATGTCGTTGCAGTCCTGTGGTTCATTCAGTGATTAACAGAGCATCTTAAACCAGAGTATTCATGATGACTCATACTGAGTCATTATCAGTTGGAAAATATGTCTGTTAAATTGAGTACGGAAAGCTGCAAAAACAAAAACATTTCTTTCTATGAAGATAATTCAATGTAAATAGCTCAAATCATATGTATCATTACTGTTCTGCTCGTGACTTACAAGGTGCTTGTGTGGTATGGCAACAGTAGCTGTTACGAGGCTCTGCAAAGAGACATAAGAACCACAGAGAAAATACCGGACACACATCTCCCTACGTTACAAGACACCTACATCCTCCGAGGTGTAGGTGTACACTCATACCAGTCAGCGCACAAACTGTTTGAACTTTCCTCTCAAAGATACAGGTCTACAGAGAGACAAACCACAAGAATAATGGTAAGTACATACCTCAAAGCTATTACCACACTGAACCCAGGATTGAACTCACCCACTTTATAGACAGGCCGTGCAATTGTGCAGGTTTATATTTAGCACTATTATTTATTTATTAGCTCTAGCACATGCAATACACTCTTTTATGTAATTCTACAATTGTGTATGCTTGTGGTGCATCTGTGAGGCCGTTTCAGGCAATGCACTGTAACTTCACTGTAATCTGTACATCATGCAGTGACAATAAAGTAATTTTGTATTATCTTAGTTTGTCTTTCAGATAAGCGTAATAAAATGACAGCAATAAAATACTGAAAATAGTGTAATGTTTGCACAGTCATATTAAAAACAAGAACAAGTCCTCGATGAACGTGTGAGCACTTGTTAAGGTAGCAAATGAGCTTCGTATAGTGTCTAAGGGCACACTCATTCTGCACTTGTCTCTCTAGATCTCAGTGCAGCATTCTATACCGCTCACCACAATATGTTACGCCAAAGATTAGAATAAACTGTAAGTATTACAGGTATTGTGCTGCAGTGGTTTGAATCATATCTGTCTAAAACATAGGTGTCAAACTCTGGCCCGCGGGCCAAATTTGGCCCGCAGCCTAATTACATTTGGCCCGCGAAGCCATACCAAAATACTATTAGAGATGGCCTTCTGGTATTATACAGCTAATATTGTTTAGTATTAAGCTTTGCTTGTTCCATATTCAGTTTTCCAGCAAAACGTATTTGAGTCCATAAGAAAAGATTCATTCTTATATCTGGAGGAAGATTTTTTGTTCAATAAATATTAATGTTAGCCCGCAACTTTGTTCCAGTTTTGAATTTTGGCCCACTGTGTATTTGAGTTTGACACCCTTGGTCTAAAAGACTCCAGTTTGGGACTCTTCTTCACACACAAAGGTTTATTATGGAGTTCCACAGGGTTTTGTACTAGGACCAATTCTATTTACATTATACATGTTTTCCTTAGGCAGTATCATTCGAAAGTACAACATACTTAAACGGGCAAAATGGGTCTGGGTGACCTCCAATTAAAAATCTTAAAAACCAGATACTTACTCTGACATTGCCCTTGGCCTCCATACAGTATTCCTCAACACTGTGAGGAATCTTGAAACCATTTTTGACCAGGATATGACCGTCAGTGTCTTTATTAAACAAATACGACCGCTTTCTTGTATTTGTGCAATATCTCTAAAATTAGAAATATCCTGTCTCAAAGTGATGCTGAAAAACTAGTTCATGCATTTATTGCTTCCAGTCTATTACTATTGCAATCCATTATTTTCAGGCTGTCATCAAAACTCCCTGAAAGCCTTCAGTTGATCAAAAATGCTCAAACGGAAGTACTGACAGCCCATCAAGTACCACAACATGGGAAACCCCCATGATAAACAGCTGGAGGCTTTCCATGATGGACCTAGTGTCTTCTTCACTGACTTATTTTCACCACTTTCCATTTAATCTTTGTTATTATTCATTTCTGGCTTACTTCCACAGTGTGTCAGAGTTTGTCCTTCTCACTGTCGCCAATATCTTGCTCATAGGGGTTATTTGACTGTTGAGGATTTTCAGTAAACCACTGACACACTAAAGTAAACCACTGACACACTAAAGCCATGGTGATTACTTTGTGAAAGCAAAAATTAGACTGTGCTATACATATATTTTCTTAGCTAAAATAACAAAGCTTTGAATATTTTGCTTTCTTCACTCATCTGCTGGATTGTTCACTGAGGAGCAATGTGTTGACCCCTAGGCACTTGAGCACTAGGGGTCTCTGTTTCCTTCAAGAACGTGCAGGTCTATGTCATGCAGCTGCTGTTTAGGTCATATGAACAACGTCTGGGCCTAGTGGGCCCTGACCTATAAACCTCCCAGCACCTGCAGACTGTCTCTGATTATCTGAGGGGAGAGTCCTGCTCTTTTAGCCTTCATTACAGCATGTGTTTTACTTTTTCTGGCTTTTCATTTACACTGCAAAATGCACATCATTACTTCCAATTTTCATAGTTGAAAAGAAGAGAGTTAAAATGTAAGAAAAATCCTTGTCTCTATGAACTGTCATGTTACTGTTCATGTATGACATAAACTGTGGGTGAACTAAATGTACAGTAGTGCATTTTTTCATGTCACGCCTGCGGGCCTCACAAAAAATTTCCAAATGGCTGCCATTGGTTCACAAGATGCACTTTGAGGACCCATGGTCTAGTGAAATAGCAGCATTATAGTGGCTTTAATTAAGATTGGCTGAGGAAGTATGAATGGGGAGAAATGAATAGCTCTTTTTTACTGAGAATCCCTGTTGAGATGTCCTCGATAATGACTACTTCTCTTTATCCCTGATAGTGGCTTTCATTGAGAACACTGCTGAGTGTGACTTAACCTTTATAACTGACAGACACAAAGGCTGTTAACCTTTGCCAGTTATCTATCAAAGACCACTAACCATTCTCACGTCTCCTTTTTTAGCACTTCCGTGATCAACAGAATAACATCTTTATTCTGCGAATCTTACCATTCACATGCCAGCAGACTGAACCTATAAATCTGACAAATGAAATTTCACAAGGTCTTATTCCAGAGCAAAAGCAAATTCACATAAAACCTGTTTCAACATGACTTCAATCTTTCAGTTCTCACCAGCTTGGAGGACAGCATGACGTGCTGCTAGAAACATTTCATTTCTGGATAATAAGTGTGAGGTTTCTGTCTCACAGCCTTGGTAGCTATGGAAACTTAATACTGTATCACCAACATTATTGTTAAAAATATTCTTTTAATTTGTGGCTTTGATTTGAGACCTAATAGGTGTTGAATGTACTGTAATCATGGCATTTAGTAAATATACAGCAGCCACTTTTACGAGTTTTAAACTATTAAATGTATGATGTAAGGGTAAACTCTAAAGGCAGCTATCATATGCAAAGTATGTGCAGTATATTTCACATTTGATATCTATTCTTCTATTTATAATAAACTGTGAATGTCCCTTGATCATCATCTTTCAATACATCTTCAATCAGTGTTTCTGCATGTTTCATATATTCCGACAGATCCTTCATTCAGTTACAGAAACAATGTTCATGTTTGAAGCACAGTCATTAATTAACTGTTGGTTTATGGTCCTTTTCGATGCTGGTAGTTTTTCCACTAGATGGCAATGTTGAAGCAGATATGCTGGTGACAGCAGCTAATGTCTTAGAGCTAATCTTTCTGTGCTGTATTTTCCTTGCTGTTAAGCTATTTTAGATTAAAGAAAAACTCATCTTCAGTATTGAGCTGTAAGCAGTTGCAGGTGATGATACAACCTGCATGACCAGCTCAAAAATTAATTGAAGAAAGATTCCTGGTGGCATTTTGCTTAGTCAGAGTGGAAGGAAGGGGAATAAGGAGCCAGTAGGCATGAGGGTCTTTTTCCTTCTCATTTTTGGAGTATTTTATAGTTTTAAATTAAAAAAAATTACTTTGTAATTTAAAAAAAAATATTGCTGTTGCACCACATCTTTTTTTGCCATAAGATATAGGTACAAGCTTCAGTCTGCTGGCATCTTTTAACTAATTCTAGAAAGAGATCTCATCGCATCTGCTTTTTAAATGCATTATTCTTTACTTACTTACCATTTCAGCCTGTTGTCGATTCACACCAACAATAAGCAAGTGAAATAAAAAATAAAAAAAAACTTAAATAGTTGTTTCATTTTGCAAATGGTGAATCACACTTTTAATTTGTAGGGGAACATTAACCATTTGAGTCTTTTGGACAATATATCATATGTATATTGTTTGTATGATTCACCTGATGGATTCAGATTCCATCTTTGAATGTCACTGAATAGTTTGTCACTCAAGTCAACATGGAGACTTATATCTGGGACTCTCCACCATTTGACCTTAGAACTGAAGAAGCTTCTCGGATGAGAGGTGAAACGTCTTCAAGTAACTTAAAGAAGTCCAGACGCTTTTCTTTGCAAGCTCCTTTGTCAACATGGAGGAATATTAAAAAGAAAAAAAATCCTTTGGTGGAGGGATAAAATTGATTTGATTTAGTGTGGCATAAATGAAAACAGACCAGAGGAAAATGAGACATAAGACAGCT